ACGACTGCTTACCGAGCTCCTGAGCAGCAAGGGCAATGACTCCCTAGGTGTTCCTCTCCTGGACCGAGAAAGGATGGAGCACGTCTGGAGTGTCCAGAAGAAGCATGTCAAGTGTATCCAAGACCCCCCTGGTGTTGCGCTCTATACAGAGACAGGGAGCTTAACCAAGGGAGGTGTGCTTCTGAAGACATACAGATGTGCCAGAGGCTCCACTTCTCTTGAATCCTTTCATTTACACCTTAACCGTTTCATCGCAGGTACGTCTTTGTCACACACACTGCATATGTAAAGAAAGAACATTAAGTGTCTTTTTGTGTGTTTAACACTCCCTAAAAACTGTTGTCGGTTTACAGGGACCAGTGCAAACAGTCTGAACTTTCAGATTTATTTGCTGGAGGGTCTACACCGGTGGAACCAGGATCGGGAGGCTGCTTCGCTGTCATCGGAGCCATCAGCTTTGCGCAGCTACACAGGAGAACTTGTTCACTGTGTAAACCGCAATTATGAAAAGCTGTTTGGCAGGACAGTGGTCCCCACGTTTTGTCCTCCTGCACGTTACACCGGTAAAAACATTTTATTATTGTTAATTAACTTGCAATTTCTGTGTAATCTCATTTATTATTTTTAATTAACTTGCAATTTCTGTGTAATCTCAGTCAAAATTTTATATTTAAGCCTCTGAAGTCTACTATATCTGTGTTTTAGACCTCTAAATTATCAACATGATCAAATTTGTTTCTTGAAACATGCTCTCTGTCATCTGATTGATATTTAAGTAAAAGGCCTTTCAGTATAATTGTACCAACGTCTACCTTCAGCTCATACTTCACGTCATTTTGCTGTGAAGTCTTTACTATTAGAAAGTAATTGTTATTTTTAGAAAGAATAACTTGGATATTATTAGTAATATTTGGTGACCATTTACTGTACTGAGTATAGGTTTATTTTTTTTTTCTCTTCGACTATGAGCTCCATGTTCTCACACTTGCACTATATGAGCTACAACAAATGCCTTATGTATCAAATATGATACACAACAATTGTATTTAATTCCTGTTTGTTTTTATTCCAGGTGAGCTCATTGGAGTGCAGTATCTGTTCCAGCAGACTGGACAGGCATTGCAGGACATGAACCCAGACTCTGAAGAGACGGCAGAACTCATCGAGGACCTTAATGTGGAGGAGCGAGAGGAAGATGAGGGCTTCTGTGACATCAGCGAGGATCACACCATTGCAGATCCAGAGGTTGTTCTGTCACCACCCTCCTCCACACTGACACTGGGTTCTTCCACCCTGGTCACCAGCAGTGACACGGCTGTACTGGGTTCTACATCCCCTTCACTGGTCCCTGACCCCACACAGTCTCCTTCATCACCTGGACCCTCAGGGACTGCTGTCTCACCGGTTCCCTCTGAAACATCTGTTTCACCACTCCCCTCAGAACCAGAGGATGCTGGTCAGGATGATGATGAAGAGACGGTAAGTGCCACTCCTCTGTATTTCTTTCAAATAAACTAGAATAATTCAAACAAGGATGGATCAACATCTACTTCTTACTACTGCTTTAAATCCAGACTTTGCTCAGATTTTAAACTAAAGTCATTAGTAGGCAACAAAGATGCATCGAGTCAAATCAGTTTTATTCCGTTAGTGCTTTGTACTATACAGATTGTGTGAAAATAACCGAATCAATGGAACTATGCATCAAAAAAAATGTGATGGGGAGGAAAAAAATTATATTTTGTGCTTGTGTTTTTTAATAGGCTGTTGACTACCAAAATGTAGGATATCAACATGTGGACAGGCTGGCAGAAT